TTATGCTATATTATATACGCACAGACATTAATAATAAATAAAAGGTTCATTTTGAAATTTCCTGAAGCTTTTCCGCATTCGCAAGCAACTGATGAAGGCCAAAGGACATAACGGTCGAAAAGTTGTGATGATAACAAAGATGAGAACAGAAGTTCAAGTATAAATAATGTAAATATTGATTCTCTTCTCCTTATTCTCCTTAAGGGTTTACTACACCGAGGACTTCAGTTCATGAGTAACGCTAAACATCTTGCTCGTGATAAATGAAACTTTATTGTTATTAAAATAAAAATCAAATATAAACCTGGAATTAAAGCTTAATAATTGTAGTACACAATATTTACTTGATGAAGAGTAGTACATTAAAATTAGTTTTCTTTATTAGACTCAAATTCAAAGGCTGTTAGACATGGATTTACTCATACATAGAAATAAATTCAAGCACAATTTTGATTTTTATAATGCTGCACTCATAAAAAAAGAAAAAAAAACTCACCCAGAAGGAAAATTCTCGAGAGTGCCGCCATTGAATATTATCCAAATATTAATCTACGCCCGGGCTTTTTCCTTATATCACCTTTCCTAACAGAATTACTACTCTCCCAAGTAAACGTACACAACTGTATCAAGAAATCAAAAGAAAATGGTTGAATCCGTCAACACAACAATAAAAATAATATTTCCACACGTGATAGTAATTTTCAGTTGACAATATGAATACAATAGCGTTTTATAAATTCTTCTAGTTGCTAAGGACATTTTGTTTTGTTGTTAATAGTTACTTTATTTTAATAAATTAATTTCGTTTTTGTCTTGAAAAAGTCCACATTGAACGAAACGCGTCGGCTAATAATACAGTTTTCCTATTGTCATTTACCTTTATAAATAGATTTTTACTGTTTAAAAAAACTGATATATCTACTTAAACACGAGTGTCCACTGAATAAATATTTAAATTAAAAAGGTATATACTTTATATGTATATAGTTTCTGAGGGGACGTAAGTATAATTGTGACCTGGTTGAAATTGTCAGATGCTGGATTTCGAATCCAGTTGAAATATCGTTTTATTCTTCATTGTTTTTCATTGCTTAGAACCTTCTCATAACACGATCTTATTCCATTTTTCCTACAGGTACTTCCCTAACATATTAAGAACAAACATATAATTTATTTTAAAAGAAATTAATTTCAATATCAGAATATTGCTATTGAACTGAAGTTCTTTTATTTAACCAATTCAACCCCAAGCAAGGCAATGATGCCACTAAGAAACAAGCGGCTAAGGAGAGTGAAAAGAATGAAAAGGATTTTAGAAGGAATAGGAAATCCAACCCTGATCAGGAAACAAGGGATAAGCTCATACTACTGAGAAAACGGAGCAGAATTGTGAACAAGATGACAGGCGAACCTATCTACTATTGAAGAAAAAATAACAAATAAATAGTAAATATAATTTCAGAGTTTAGGCAGAGACGTTAGAAGTATAGAGTTGAAATAGACTTTAGAATGACCCGGGAACTCACTCCTAAACAAGAAACAAAAGATAAACCTCTACTCCGGGAAGGAGTGTAAACCGATCGATCAGCAATATTACATCGAATTAAAATGCTAAGAATTGTTTGAATTATTTTGTACGTTCATGCCTACTTATGATCAATAATTTTTTTTATTGACTTAGTCTTATTTATTGATATCAATTTTGGTTTGAATTCCGTTTACATGATATTGGAGGTAAATAACGACATGAACAATACAACTGACTAAATGGAACATACTAAAATAATGGTACAATCTAATCACAATATTTTAACAAATACACCGCAGGCTTTATTGCACAATGGGATCACCATAGTCGCACTAATAGGCACTTTGATGTAGTATAATGGTAAGCAAGCTTATCTCGCTAGATCAGTTACAACTGAGTAGAGAGTTATTTCCTTGCTGCGTGCTCTACACTTTCGGCCGTGTGCCACGTCTAAGCTACGCTTATAAAATAATTGAACCATAATTGAACTATTGTTACTACTTTATCTACTGTATCAAATCAAATTAAATATAATAGTTTATTGGAAGTGAATCTAGCACAAAAATATGCGATTGAAATTATTATTTTTAGGTTTTCTTCATTTTTCACCACCATTACTATCGACAATGTACGTGTGTTTATTAATTTCATTTATTCAAATGTTTTATTCAAGCCGTTGTCATCCTCCAGGACCGTGTGTCTTGTAAACAGTAGCCGAGCGAAAATGTTAAAAGCTAAATTATTTCAATTTCATATCTGTTTGGTGGTGAGTGTATTCGAGTTCATGATGGAGGGCAGATCGGGGACAAAAACGGATGATAAAGAGTCAAAAGTTGCAAGGAATAGGAGGCTATGGAAAGCCTATTTTTGAAGAGGTGCGACAGATCAAAAAAAAAGAGATGGTGTACAATAAGAATTCGGTATTTTTCATTGATGATATCTACATACAACTTTAGCTATTGGCTTGTTTCTAAGTTACACTTTATCTAATTACAATTTAACTCACTTTGGAATCAATTTGGTAAATTTCATAAACTTATTATATATTAATCTAAGTCATAAACATTTTCCATTTTAGAGGACCCAATTATAATGACGAATGTATTATTCTAACTACTAATCATACGTGGCAGTTTTGGTGTACACTAACAACGTTCAACGCAAAAGGCAAGGATAAATTTTTACAACCGACCCCAAATATTGAGCTCCGTGAAAGAAAAGTAATGTTGTGCGTGTAGTGGGATCATCAGGTTATTATTCATTTAGAGATTTAAAAAAAAAATAATGAAACACTAAATGCATGTTTATACGCCTTGCAGCTGTAATCTGTCCATAAAAATTTGTTCGGAAAGCGTCCTGCGCTCTTTAATACAAAAAAAAAGTTGTTCTCTTGTTTGACAACGCAAGGCCGCATACAGCAAGAATAACGCAGGAAAAAAATTTGAAATTCTGTTTTACCTCACACTCCATATTCATCTGATATTGCATCAACCGATTATCACGTTTTCCGATCTCTACAAAACGCTTTGATGACGAAAGCTTTCTAAATTCAAGAGTCCGTTGCAAAATTCTGCACAACAAATATTAGGGGATTTTACTAAAATAGTATCGAAGAAATGCCTGATAAGTAGCAACAAGTTAGTGCAAATAATGGCGAATATATACTTTAGAAAAATGTTATTGTACTTTATTTAAGAATAAACGGAAGTTATTTATGACTCAACGTATTATGTTTGATGATATTTTCATATTAGCAAAAAACTGAGGTGATAAAAAGAAACTTAAAGAAATCATGAAAAGAAAATATTTTTCACTCTACTTATAAGTTAAATTCAGAGAATCCCTGTCTTTAATGTTTTAGCAATCTCTAATAATCATAATATTATGTGCGCAAACAGTGCCGAAGGACAAAGTGTCGAAAAAAAAATGACGAACAGAGCAAGTATCGAACAAAATGTCAAATGGACAAAGTGCCGAACGAAAAAAAAAAACAATCGAATTAAATTTTCGGACTAAATTTTTTCATAAATAAAATATTTATTTTTATTTTTAACAATTCTAATTTCTCATAAATAAAAATTTTAACCCTTTACTGTAGTTTGAATGCAGAACCTAACAAAAAAAGTAGCAATTATATAGAAAGTTGTTTTTATTTCAACGGAAGTTTTAAAATTAGTTCAAAATTTAATTATAATTATTTACCGGCAGGCTATTTGAATGCTAAGTAAAAGGTAATCTATTGTAGGCACATTTATAGCCTTTCGTCATTTAGTCATTTCGACTCTTTTTTCGTTCGGCACTTTGTCTATTCGACACTTTGTTCGTTCGATACTTAGTCCTTTCGACACTGTCCATTCGTCATTTTGTCTATTCGATATTTTGTCCATTCGTCATTTTGTCTTTCGACACATTCTCCTTCGACACTCTGACCTACTACTTAATATTTTTATCTGCCGTGTCCTTTCAGGACGTAGGTGATCATGGCTCTCCACTTCCGCCTATCCCTTGTGGCTCTCAATAAGTTTCGTGCCTCTACCAACTGCCCCAGACCACATCTCCCATCCACTTGTTGGTATGTCATGCGTTGCTTTTCTTTGTCTCTTGTCCCCTCTATCCGACTTGTGAGTATCAAATTCTCCAGGTCCTACTTTCTCATTACGTGTCGCAGATTCTTCCTTAAGTATAAGCTTCCTCCTTGTCTGTATCTTTTCCAAGACCTCATTCTTGCTCACACGCTCGATCCATGATATCCTTAGTATACTTTTGTAGAACCACATCTCCGCTGTCTCGAGTCTGTTCTTCATCTTTGAGGAGACTGTCCAACATTCGCTTTCGTATAGGAGGACAGATGTCACTACTTCATTATATAAAAAAATACACGGTATAACGTCTTGTCTTCATAATTATCAAAGAGGATGTCCACATAGACATAAAATAGCTGCTATAAAGACATGATCAACCAAGCTCAACTAATTGCTTCTTCACATATATATTTTTATGATTGCAGTTGCATGTTGACAGCAGTGAAAGATCTCAGTTCGGCTTTTTCAAGATGGCATTTCTTGGAAAAAAAGCAATTTTGAATAAAGCCATCTTGAAAAAAATCTGAGCTGACATCTTTATTGCTATAAAATCTATTTTAGTGGATACACGTGTTTACGTGGACATCCGTGTTTTTTCAAACGTAGCCTCGACAACAGAAAGTCCACCGTGGCCGAACGGTCAAAGCACTTTTGACTAAAACGCTGGTTTCGCTGTTGAGAGGTGAATTTTCCTTAGTAGACATTCTCTGGCTTAAATTGGTGAACATTAATTTCACTGTTTGATGATACAGGGATGTCCATTCTAAAACGTTATACAATAAAATAACCTTTATAGAAATAAGAATAACACTGGATTAAATCCTTTAATTGTTTATATATTATTTTATAATAAACTGAGTATCATAAATAAATACTTATTAAGACTTACAGTCACATCACATTGAAACACCAGTTCCCATATGATCACCGAAGTTAAGCAACGTCGAGCCTGATCAGTACCTAGATGGGTGATCGTTTGAGAATCCAAGTGCTGTAAGCTTGGATGTGCGTGAGTGTGGGTGTAATTCTAGTTGGGTCCGTTATACTCATTTACGCCCAAATAACTTTGGGAAATGTATGAATTCGTCTCGTGTACACCCAGCTATGGGTTAATTAGTAATTGTATCACCATTATCGCCAAATAAAAATTCTTACAATTTAAATATTTTCTGGCTTTAAATAACCTGCAAATTCTTGATCAGCCGTAGAAAACCAATCAATTAAGAAAAAAACCGTATTACTAATAATTTCCGAAGCCATCTCTTTGAAGAGCAAAAAAAAAAAAAGGAAATTTGTAAAAAAATGACACAAACATCCATTTTTATATAAATAAAAATAAAAACACATCGTTAATATTATATTCGTTTACAACCAGATGCATCTTAACTACAAACAAGATGAAAAAGTTATTAAAACTACAATCGAAGGTGCATATCAATTAATGTTGTGATGATTTATTTTCTTTTATGTCCTGTATTCCACCAAAACCTGGGCACTCATGGCTCGCCACAGCTTCCTTTAATTTATCTCCTTTCTTCGAAGTGACCAGGACTCTTATGTTTTCATTAATAAGCTTTAATAATTTAATTTAAAAAATATTAAAATAATTAAACATTTACATTTGTAATTATTTTTTTTTCAAATATATATATATATATATATATATATATATATATATATATATATATATTTACAAAACATTTTTTTATGTTTTAACGTTGTTATTTTTTATAATATACAAATATTTAAAACCCAAATTTTCTGTTTATGATAAACAGTCGAAATAACATTTACCGGCCTGAATGTCCGGAAATTTTCATAGAAAATATTCGTTATTTAATACTGTTTATCATAAACAGAGCATTTGCTTAAATACTTGTATCTATAAAATAACAACGTTAAACATAAAAAAAATGTCTTTAATAAATAAATTGTCGGATCTTGTCCATTTCTTAATATATATATATATATATATATATATATATGTGTGTGTGTGTGTGTGTGTGTGTGTGTGACAAAGTACGCCACAAAGAACTGTTAGAACTGCTAGATAACCTTTTCGACATTTGGGAAAGATATTAGAATAATCCAGAACCTATACTGGCAGTAAAATAGAAAGAAGTCTAAGACAAGGATGTGTCTTCCCAGTAGATTTATTCAACCTATACAGTGAGGCGATTGTGAGAAAATTACAAGTTCTACCAGGATCCCTTACTGGCGGCCACAATCTTAACATAGGATATGCAGATGATGCAGTGTTGATAGGAGACACGGAAAGAAAACTACAGGAAACCCTATAGAAGTTAGTGAAGGGAAATGAGAGAAAAGGATTAAACATCAATTGCAAGAAGACATAATGCATAGTTGTTAACAAAAGGAACAGTCCAACAAATTACAATTTGGAGATACCAAAATCAAACAAGTACAACAATTTAAATATCTGGGGAATATATTAAAAAAGACGGAATATGCGACACTGAAATCTGAAGATAGACTTATATAAAAGTTCAGTATTCTTTTCTTTGTTTCAAACGAAATGTTCTAGTTACTTTGCTTTTGGAACGCATCTCTCAATATCAATGTGGATTGGGAAATATGCGTTCCAAGGAAAGTATTAAGAAAGTCGAAAATATCGTTAGAAACAAAAAAAGAAAAGAAAAAGAATACTGAACTGTTACGTAATATCAGTCCTCCAATATGGCAGTGAAAGCTTCACAATCTCTTCACAGACTTGAAGCAACAGAAATGTGGTTCTACAGGACAAGGAGAATACCATGGATCAAATATGTGAGCAACAACAAAGTCTTAAAGAAAATGGAAACAAAAAGGAGATTTATATTTAACATCAGGAACGGACAGTTGAAATTTGTAGCACACAGGAGGAAAGAGGGTTTGGAAAACTCACAGGACAGAATAATGGCAAGAGGGGCAGAGGAAAACTTTGAGTTTAAGTAAATGGATGGCAGGACGAGGTTTAAGACAAGATTTATTAAAAGCTACAAACGATAGAAAATTCGAGAGCCAACGTCCTGAAGTGATATGACACATAGAAGAAAAATATAAAATTATGGGATTATTCGATCTTGTAATTGCTTTTCTATACAATCCTATCCTTAATTAACTAAATGCTGCACGTATTTTTCTAAAACACTGTATAACCCTTTTTAATTTGACCGTTATTTCTTTCCTTGAAAGTCCCTCTTATTCTCCATGACCACCGGAAGTTTATAATGATTCCATCTGGCTATACATCTGTCTTTGGCTTACTCTCTATATATCTCTTCTTTTCTCTCGTCGACTCTCTCGATATATATTTGTAAACATGCATACAGTATATTTAAATAAACAAATATAGAGGCATGAATTGCAGTAAATTTATATTAAGTCAGACTGAGACAGTGGCACATGTATCCTCCCTACACACACACGCACACACACACACACACACAGATATATATGTACTTGAACGTCTGGGTATATATATATATATATATATATATATATATATAAATGAAAAAGAATAATTACAAAAAAAAATTTTTGTCATAAAAAAGTAAACGATAACCAAAGTCACTAGAAAAGATACTGTCAAGTGCAAAACTGCAGGCTACAATTAAAGAGCCTCAGGTGAGAAGATGCAACCAATTCTACCGCGGAGTATGGAGTTATCTATTAGAAGGCCACGAATTTCACTTCAAAGACGGATCCAAAATCAAAATTAAAAATAATTTCTCGTACAATTCAGAGAATTTAATATACATTATAAAATGCAATGGTTGCCAGAAACAACACATTGGTCAAACCGACCGGACACTCCGAAAAATGACGAAAGTTGAACAAATCTTGGGATCCTTACACTAGAATAATACCTCTTAGCCAAATATGAACTTTGGTATAGCGATTTTTCAAACGTAGCTTAGATTCGGCACAAGGCCGAAAGTAGGTTCACCCAGTGAGTATCGAACTCACTACTCAGTCGTAATTATTCTAGCGAGACAAGCTCACCAGCCATTACACCACCTCGAGGTGCCAATGAACTTATATTAACCGTTTCCATACAGGTAACACTCAGCATTCACTGACCGAACACTTATCATTACTATCGATTGAAATTTAGAAAATATTCCTCATAAATCATTTTTTTCAGAAATGTACACGTCTCAAGTTCACTGTTATTAATCTTTCTAATACTGATAGACGTTTTCTTTGAAATATTTTTTAAGACACACCTTGATTTTATCGCCATTTTTCCATTCTTGTCACATGTGTTACCCTTTTTTGTTGTTTTTGCATGCATATGTATAGCGCTTTATATGCAAACACATCCATAGATTTATATATACTCCTCATCCTGTCTTATGAAAAGGAGTTGAGGTTTATCCCTTCTTTACTGTTTAGGACTAGGTTTCCGGTTCCTACTAAAATCTGCTTCAGCTCTGTACTAACGCTTCTTCTTCCCTACGCCAATATAAGTCCAGACAGTACTCCTCTGCCTTGAGTGGCTCCTGGGCCTATTAGTAAAAAAATATATGAAGATGAGAGCTGTGCATGCTTTTACACACACGCACGCACACAAATGTATACACAGACGAGTAGCTCCGAAAATATTGCGTCCTATTTTATTTTGTCGTCCTCCGCTAATAACTCATAACTGTTTTTGTCTTGTTTCAGTCAGCAGTAGCATGGAAAATTAGCATCGGTCATGAAAGTGAGTACAAATTAATGATTTACCTATGAATTAGAAAAAAATGCACCCATTAAAACTGATTGATGCGTGCTGAACATTTACGGAAACTAAACAATGAATGTGAACACAGGCAGTGAGTGATAGTTTTCGGTATTGGCGACAGCGATATATATGACAAGCCACATTCCGGACAGCACTTTATACAAAATAAAAAGCACCACAATTAACTCATTCGTGTTAATCGACGGATGGCAACGTGAAAAGTGTATACGAAATATAAATGCCAGCTTCAATACATTGGAAAAATGTTGTCAGCTTTAGCATATTTCAAATCTTTGTAGCAGGTGGATCCTACGGATGCTAGACAAGAACAAAATAACACTGAATACAAGTCTATTAAGATCAACAGAACAAGGAAAGACTGAAGGTGACAGTTTCACAGAGCTTATCATGACCGGTAATGAGAACTGTCGTCCCTTCTACGAGCCGGAATAAAAACGGCAGTCCATTCGAATTTAACATCAAAGGAAAATATCAAGATGGGAAACGGCCTTTAGTGCGCAAAATATGAAGTTGGCGAGATTTTCTTGCTTTTTCTAGACGCTGGACAAAATTCCAACTCTGACCGTTTCATTGGAACACTGATTAAACTGTAAGCTTAAAACTGAAAAACTATATTTGCAGATTCCAGAGATGAAAACAATTTTTCGCTTGAAACCTGATAAAACCACTTGACACACCAGTTTCGAGACAATGGATCATCTTGCAATTTTGTTTAGTTTCTGCTATTCTTATCTGTAAATATATTCGGATTTATTATCTGATTATCATCATTTCCAACCGATGAGAGATGGGCTGTACAAACAACGTTTTCCTAACTAATGAATGAGTGTGGAAATAATTTTTGTGGTTAAAGACTTGTTACTCAAGAGTATTATTTTCTCCCTGTATCCGTTGCAAACCTGCGAGAATTGGAAACCCTACCGGGATTTAGCATTGGCGGCCGCAACCTTAACAACATAAGATACGCAGATGACACAGTACTGATAGCAGACACGAAAATGAAATTACAAAATCACCTACAGAAGGTAGAGACGGAGAGTGAAAAGAAGGGACTAAGCATAAAGTACAAGAAGACGGATTGCAAAGTTTTTTTAAGAGGATGAACCTCCAAAAATGAGATTTGAAGGTCAATTGAACACTAGTCATAAACATTCAAAGACACACACATTATATACATATTTATATTTTGGTGTTAAAAAATAATGACGTAATAATGTCGTTTTTGGACGTATTTTTAACGTCAAAAAA